TAAAAAAAAGTTGTTCCACCAGATATTTGACGCAGCTTTCAAATTTTAATTGATTAATGAGCTAATTAATTTTATTTTAAATGTTAGTATGACTACAAAGCTAAATGGATATTCAGAATGAGTTGATGTAAGCATTTTACCGGCAGAGACAAAAGTTTATTTTTTAAAATAAAAATATCAATTCTAAAATAGGTAACTGTCTTAAGGATTAATATGATATTAATGACTTTACCGATAAGGACATAATTTGTTAAAAAGACAAATAAGACTGGTTTTAATCCAACAATGACAGAATGCACCATCTGGCTTAAACAGAGATCACAATAAGAGATAACAAAATGTCTAATGTCAATTTGAATTACCAGAAGCAAAATGATATACACTGTGTAATTGATTCAATGTTCTCGTTATAAATTTGTGTTAAATATCACTTATTTCCATGACGTTTTTAAAAACACCAGAGGTGGGTGTGTGTATCCTAGTTCAGAGAGGACTAATCACTTAAGTATATAACCACAGTGTTGTATGTAAATTCTCGTTATAGTTAAAGTGCTTCAAACAATGTGGTGTATATCTTAACATAAGTGTTTACTCATAAATAATGTACATACATCTCTTTTGTTTGTCAAACTTTGGCTCGTGACATTTCATAATATACATTGATACAATAAAAGCGAGCTTGTTCGAAAGTAAAGAAAGTACATTTTGATCAATATCCAAGTCTATTTTCAATAAAATTTTAATTAAAGCTGTTGATTTAAATTGATAAAATCCAAGAATGAGTTTGATTAATAATGGATTAATCTATGAAGAGGTCCACAGTACAAAATGCACTTCAGTAATGGTTTTCGAGAATGACATTTGCTGAGATTACAAATACTTATTTCCCTTCAAAACGTGACATGTTGGCAAATTTTGATATCAATAGGACATCAATGAATTCTGGAAATAAAAAATTCAACAAATTAGAACATAAAAAATTAAGGATCGTTTACACACATAAAATAGATAACCACAAATAAATAAAAGAATGCAGTATGCTGCAAATAACAAAACCAGCCATTGTAGGGAGAAGAGTTAGTACCAATATCTTAGTGGAAGACTCAATGACTCAGAATTAATCAGATGAAACATTGTTTTGACTTAAATTAGTCTCTTTTCACAGTACAGTTAATAAAATCATAGTTACGTGCATGATGCAATTGAACGCATTGTGTATGTCTTTGAACAACGTTAATACAGTGCATAAGCGATATTCATCTTTTAGGTTGTTCGAAGAGATCTTTCCGTCATGTAATTCTAAATCAATAGTTTTAAATCGGAATACTGTGTTACTGAAAACATTAACCCACCAGGTGCTGATCAAACTGCAACTAACAAAGCCTCGATTTATTCAAAATTTTGCGCGTGAACGTGCACGTGCGCATAATATAATTTATCGTGATATCTTGAAAAAAACCACATCGTAATATCGATGTTGTTTTATCTATAAGTACACTTTGTCCGTCTAGTATGTATCCATGCGTGTATTTAGGCAGAACAATGGAAATAATTAAATTACTTTCAAATGTTTTTGTATGATAGGTACGGTGCGTGACGTTATATAAGATATGAGAAATAGAAAAAATATTTACCCCTGCCTCCGTTAGCAATAAGAGTGCTAGTGTTATTACGATCATAATCTGAAGGAACGCACGGTATTTGTGCTGATGATGATTATGATGAAAGGGAGAAAACGTAAACAACTAATGATAACACTATGGCATTGATTCTTTTCTGTGACATCTTTGTTTGATTATTTAACCATTCACACTCCAGTGATTATAGAAATCAACATATCGTAAATATTATCGTTTGGCTGTCACGTATGTATGCTACCTTTGGTGTCTCTTTCCTACTTTACATGACCAGTACCGATATATACTGCCATTGAATAGCTATATAACATAATTCGACGCAATGTCACCGATAGTTTTTATTCCCTATATCGGAATACTGCCATGAAAACGTCCTATTGTACACCTCGATATACTGTCATTGAAAAGGTCTTTTGTCTATCTCGGCATATTGACAATGAAAAGTATTACAGCCTATCTTGTTATACTGCCATGAAGACGTTTTACTGTCTACCTCGATACACCGTCATTGGATAAATTACTGTCTGCATCGATAAACTGTCATTGGATAAATTACTGTCTTTATCGATAAACTGTCATTGGATAAATTACTGTCTTATCGATAAACTGTCATTGGATAAATTACTGTCTGTATCGATAAACTGTCATTGGATAAATTACTGTCTGTATCGATAAACTGTCATTGGATAAATTACTGTCTTTATCAATAAACTGTCATTGGATAAATTACTGTCTGCATCGATAAACTGTTATTAAAAAGTGATATTGTCTTCAAGTATGTTATACTTACGTTCTTATACAACCGTGAACAATTGATATATATCTTTAAAATTTTCCACTTGACCTCGAAAATGCACTTAAGTTAATTCTGTTGTGGTAGAGTTAATTGATTGCTCCAATATGTTTCCATCTCATTTTCAAACATATTTCTATTTACGTCCAACTTCTCAGTAGGTACACCCGCAATGCCGCATAGGCGTTCTCACGACAACATAACATCTGACCGGATGTCAGCTTTCTCTCTATTTTATTTATGTTTTCATCTACGTCAAACATAGCAGGTAGTATTGTCTCTACCTTCTAAATATTGTATGTATCTCTCCTTACAAAAAGTCCTGGTAAGTCTTGGAGCTTCCTTCAATTTATGGTCGTTGCTGTAGCTGAAGTCTAGGTATTGCTAGGTTCACTTCTATCACTGCATAGGTCTCAATGTCACAAACAATTAGTTCCTCCATCGCCTGACACAATGGATAGAACCGTTCTCGACACCACAAACATGTCAGTCACCCTTCGTGTGACAGTGTGGTGAAAAGGTTCTCAATGCCCGAAACATTTCGGTCCCCCATCATCTGACAGTGTGATGAACACTTTCTCAATACTCCAAACATGTCAGTCCCCCATCGTCTGACAGTGTGATGAACACGTTCACAGTAATCTAGACATTTTTTAGGTCCCCCATTATCTGACAGTCTGGTGAACACGTTTTCATTCATCTATGCATTTCGGTCCCCCATCGTCTGACAGTGTGATGAACACGTTCACAGTAATCTAGACATTTTTTAGGTTCCCCATTATCTGACAGTCTGCTGAACACGTTTTCAGTCATTTATACATTTCGATCCCCCATCATCTGACAGTGTGATGAGCACGTTTTCAATCCTCCAAACATGTCAGTCCTCCATCGTCTGACAGTGTGATGAACACGTTCCCAATAATCTATACATTTTGGTCCCCCATCGTCTGACAGTGTGATGAACACTTTCTCAATACTGGAGACATTTCGGTCCCCTTTCTTCTGACAGTGTGATGAACACGTTCCCGATCATCTATATATTTCGGTCCCCCATCGTCTGACAGTGCGGTCACTCGAAATCCTAACATCAAAAGGTTATATTTCCAGGAATAAGCAAATTGATGACAAAGTTTAGCATAATGTGATTTGCTGGAAATTGATAGTTCACAAATTGAATGCCTATGGAAAATCATTGTCTTGAAAAAGCATGATTTTCTAATATGTATTATTCCCAATATTACAAACATTTCGGAAGGTAGCTCACTTCCTGAACCATATGGAGGTGTTGAATCACTAATTTTCTATCTTGGCACCCCTCTCACTTTGTAAAGCTGTTTTTTTGCACGGTTTACTTCCAAAATAACAACTGGTGTAATAAAATAAATTTGGTTTCTGCTTTATGTAACTAGTAACGTTTAAATGAACACGATGTGGGAGGCCCGACGCTTATCATTAAAAAAATTTGGAAGAAATTGTCTAACCCAGAAACACAACATGACAGCACAGGACTTCCCATTGTATGAACTTCCTGAGAAGCACAAGCTAGCGCCATATCCCTTCGTTAAGTACCCTTTTATACATACCTACAATATAATTAAAAAAAAAACATGAAAACACATCAGTCTGACGATCTACTTACGAGAGGCTTCTTATCTCCATTTGTAAGGTGTTTCTCGATATTCTTTCAGTACTACCTGAGACGTTCGCAGTGTTCACTTTTAATTCTATATGTAACTTTCATCATAAACACTGAGCCGAGTTATATATGCATTTACGCTAGCACAACATACGTCTGTATATAACACTCTGCACATTCCTTATCAGTGCAGATATACGAGGCATACCGCAGAGTAGATATGTAGGTAAATAATGTCTTCATATTTGAGAGAGCTAGCTACGTTCGTTCACCTCTGCTATGTACATATATACCATGAATGTTGATTGGTTAAATCTTTTGAAAAAAAACCTTTCATAATAAATTTGAAATAGGAAACAAACTGAAAAAGTGAAGCTGTTTTCCTCTTAACGAGTTAGGAGACTACATTTGCTAGGAAAAGTTTGAGGGCACAAGAGTAAATATAATCAGGGAGAAGTTAATTTATCATGACTGATGTTGGTTAGGTCTTTCAGCGGTTTCTGTTTTAACCAGTATCGGGATTTTTAACAGTGATATCTTGTATAGGCTTCCCCTTGAGCCGCTCCTGTCAAACAAATACACAGTCACTCACTAATACTCGCCAGTAAAGCTCTGCCTTCCGAACAGAGCACACAACGGTGAGTGCGTGAGGTGGTCCGCGCTACTATTCTGGATCACAGTACAGTCATGTTGGTAGTAATAGCTTGGCTATCATCTATGTGCATATGCCGAGACTGCTCCGCCACAAGTAAAACCTACCGTGCGCTCAATCGCCTCCCCTGTGTTATTTCAACCATGTCCTTACTGTCAGGTTTGCGTTAGCGACCGGGCTCTCTACTGCTACTATCAGATAGTCATGTTACCTTTAACAGGGCGGTATACGGCTTACCTTCCTATTCGCTAATCATAGCTTGTCGTGTTTGAATCATTTCAGAGCGTATGTGACAAATGACATGACTGGATACCAAGCTTCAATGTACACAAGAGGACTAACTATCACACGACCTGGTCAACAAAACATCACTTCAACAACAGAGAAACGATGACAGTTCATCTAATTTCATCTAAAGGAAAACAAGGATCCATGTCTCGACATCGTGTGTACTGAAGAGGAATATTGTGTTATTATCATTGTGTGTTACGGTCATTTCCAGTGTTTATGGATTGAAAAGTGGTCAATCATTATTTCTTTAGAAAAGTATCAAGTGTAGTACAAAATGAATGAATAACTACATATATACCGGATTTATTTAACGGTTTGACCATTCTAATACCTGTAACCTCTACTGGCTATTTATTCTAACACACCTGCAGAGGAGGGCATTAGTGTTCTGTTTGTCGCGTATGTTCTCCCCCTCATTCATCAATTTACAGGAGTATATATATATATGTATATATTGAAATAAGCTGATGTTGTGTGAAGACGATCTGTGAAATGTAGGGAGTACCAGTGTCAACACCCTTTTTATATTCTCTATGGATTCAACGTGGATTATTTTTCGGTTGCTGCGACAAATATGAGCGAATCCACGTGGAGGCTACTGTCCACAGTGGTTCTCGTACTGTTCGTCCTTTTAATCACAGGTAAGTCTCTTATAATTAGCGTGATTATCTTAATAATATAAGTGCAGCTCCATTACAAGGTATATGTTTTTCTACTCTGTCACTTACGTGTAATAATTCTTTATTTTTGGTGTGATAATTTCCAAAAACTGCTTCTAGTACAAAAAGGTAGAGAATCAAAGTTCTAGAATTATGTTTATTTGATATGACTATCATTGTTACAAAGGCATTGACATCAAACTGGGTGTCGCTTTAAAAGGCAATTTTTAACTACTACCTTTACCTTGAATGCTTAAGAACTATAATGAAAAAAGAACGTGATCACATGTTTTTTAATATTGCTGTGTAGTTTTTTTACTATTGAATCTCATAGGTTTTACAAGTTTCATCAAACTTTTTATATCGTTGAATTATAATTGGAAAATGTGTATCAATTTAGTGACGTAGGTCTTTATTGTTGATCATTTTATTACACGCATTGACCAAACATAAAACAGTCAATGACCATTCCCAGGATATTCAAACATGGAGGCTATAGGGATTTATGAGACTAGTAAATAAGTTCTACGTTCAAATACTGCTTGTCTGAAACTTTCACTTCTATCCTATCTAGTCATTTATACTAATAACCACTCCTAATACATAGCTACTACTAGTTTTGTTAATGTTTAAGGCTGATAAACAATGATCCGTTTCTTTCTTATGTTGCATCAACAACGTAAAGACATAAATGAAGAATATTCCACCCATAATAATAGCAAATATGTATCTTCCTCAATACTTCTTTGTATGTTGAAATGAGAAACTTTGTCTGTCGATTATGTTCCTCCAACACATAGGAACACACGCCTATTTTATGTATGAAGTCGTTGTATTTATTGTCTAGCAATTGCTCCCACGTGGGGGTATGACCAGATGTTTCGTACAATCTCCGGCCATTTAGTGGAACATGGATGGAGTTTGTGCCTTAAAACAAAGCTGTTGTCTTCCGTGCAATTATTTGTTACAAGGTACTCGCCTAAAACATGCATTTGGCATATGGATAGCATTAAATGAAGAATAATTAGATACGCTTAGAGTTTGGTTACGCTAATATACTGTATGACTACGTATAAAAAGTCTGTGGTATAATAGACAATGTATGGTACGGTTTATGTCTTTGATGTATGATCGGGTATAAATGTATGATTAAGTTATGAAATGTATAAATTGTTATGTATTGTTATATAATATGTGGTTAATACGCACCATGTATTTCTTGAGTGACAATATTGTATGATTATATGGAACAATATAAGATGTATGGTTACGTAATTACTTAACATGAATCAAACATACAATATGACGTTATTTTGAAATGTTGTTTCAGTTGGCTTTGGTCATAGTTTACATGAATGTTTTTAGTATGGCTGTCTGACCATGGATTCAGAACGGCCGAATTCATACACAATATAGACAATTGTCTCCTTCCATATATGCCTAAATAGGATTCACGACATTCTCGTGATTTATAGCAATGCTGAGTATAATGCATAATTCGCCAGAATTCCGGTACGGCGCTTTTCCAAAATATTTCTTATCAATTTTTCAAATGATTTGGACGACTCGATCTTTAAAGATAAACTGTTTTGTGGCATAATACGTTTCGGTGGTTACATATGACAGGTGCTTAAATTGTCGTTTCAAATGACTATATTATTAACGACTTCTTCTGAACATCACGTTTTAAGTATTCAATAAAAGGCCGTTATTTTACTTCCTGCTCTCTCACTGATAGCGAGTTCAAATATATATCACAGTTTGGAACGTTTTAATGATGTTTAAAAAAATCAGTCAAAAATGTCTTTAATAGTTTCAGACGCAAATTTATATCGATATTTTGCTAACGCTGTTTCGTATGATATGATAGTATTTGATAGCCGTACAAGATGCCTGGATAATATTTGATAGTCGGGCAAGAGGTTGGTTATCCAGAGAGAATCACAATTGTTTCAATTAGAAAAGTTAATTGATGTATACATACATAATTTACACAAGTATTATTGACATATATGGAGTTTACTGTACTTTAAACAAAGCTGTAATTCATTACAAGGTGACAGACGACTTGCTTTCTGAGATAGTTTTATCGCTGTGGTGTGGTAGCTCATTTTATTAATAACTGTAGACATACAATAGATAGCGTATATTTCTGGACAAAAAAACAAACGCTTCCTTTTATTAATCGTTATTCATTTGTCAAGCTCAATCGAGCTCTATTAAATATACGCGTGTTAACTATGCATATAATTCGCTGGTATTACACGGCTCAAAGATGAAGTGTTATTAAATTCATGTTCACGAAGAACAATATTCTTAACTTAAAACAGATTGTTGATACATATAAATATGTGTGTGTGTTGGAGGTCAATTGTATGTTTGACAGATTGGATATATATAACTTTAAAGATTTTATCCATATTTTAACTATTACCGAACAGTGTAAGTTTATTTCATAATTTAATACCATTAAACAAAATTAATGTACAAAATATTAAAATTAGATTTAGGATGTGTACATCAACAACGTAATTAACATTTCAGATGTGAAATCGTGCTCGACATTATAGATATATTATGAACAGTTTCCATATTTCTTTGATCTACACAAGTCCTGATTATATGACTATTAGAGTTTAAAATATCATTGGGCCTGACCTGTATATAATTACTGACATTACTGAAAAAATATCATTGTTTTTCTAGTGGTTGTATACATGCAATGCGCGCTTAAATGATTTACTTATATTTAGAGCCTAAATCAAATTATACATAACATTTGCAAATAATTTTGTGGTCCAGAATCTGCTGTTGTATAATACTTTGACCTTTAAAACAGAATGTCAGAAGAAAAATGTACTGCAGACTTCAATATATGTATTTCTAATATTCCATTTCCTGCTTCCGAAAGATTTCCAGTAGTATGTACACACTCAATGCCTTTTTAGAAACGATAATGCGTTGCCTTAAAAGTCATCATATATATATATATATATATATAATAGAAAACATAGATGCTATTTGGAATATTCATTTCAAGCAATACTATATATTGACATAGATATATTGAAATGATCAAAAACAAATCAAAAACATATTCCAATATCGAACCAGGTTTGCAAAAACGCACTCTTCTGATGTTAATACTTGTAAATCATTTGAATATCAGCATATCAAAACTACATTATGAGATACATGTGTTATGTCCATGACTCAATACTCGATATATGTATACGACTAAATTACTTTTACATGAAGTGAAATAAAAAGTTTGTTTACTAAATGTGTTTTCGATAGCATAGTCCTTGAACGGGATGCATGCGTTTCTTAAAACTGAAATATTGATATATATATTTCTTTCACTTTCGTGGGAATTTGTAGAACCCCTATGGAAAGATTCAAAGATCACAAATGACATTGAACCTGTAGCTAAGTCTCGAGTGCGTTTTATTTCTGTACCACTACTAGTATATCAAAATGAATAAAACAAACTTATTTTGCATTGAAAATTGATTGTTTAAATTGCAAATTCTTATGTAATTTTCTCTTATAAATAACAGATATCTTTCCAAAACTTGACAGAAATTATAACTCATTCTCGCAGCTTGCACGTATCATAAAATAATTTCAGACTATTACGACAGTGCACTAGTCAGTATTAGCAAATGTATAACGTTTCATGCTACGCACAAGAACACATTCGGTATGAATAGATGAGATAAATTGGAAGGCACTCAGTTCGTATGGCAATACATTAGTTAGTTAACAAATGTTCTTCATTACAGATCTCTAATCTATTAATTAAAGGAAAATAATTGATGTTCGCTTTCTTCTTGTTATCTTGAGTCGAGGGAAATCATATTTTCCCCTACACATGTACAGTGAAACGATTAAAATACGCCATATCAAAGATTTTTTTAGTGATTTCGAACAGCATGGAGAATTCAAACTTATCTTGGAGTGAAATCACTAATCTTATATCAACAGTTTCTGTAGTTTTAAATCTTTCCGGTCCTTTACTATTCTTTAAAACCCTTTCTAGCCTTTTCATCAGTTCATTGTTTGCTTTACCTCAGGAATGAAATTCAGTATGTTAGGACAGTACAAGACCTGTTCCTAGTGTCATGTCTGATGCATAACGAAATCATCATTGAAATGCACGCTCATTTGTGTCCACATGTGTTTTGAATTTTCCCGGTGTTATCATAGAGTACACTTCTTGTAATAATTAACGCTGAACTTGCATGCATGCATTACATACCAAATAAAGCTATTGTGCAGTTGACCACATTCTCCTTTAACAATACATGTTAAAAAATCTTAATTGAAAAAGAAAAGAAAACAACATACTCGATACACATATTACTCGATATTTACTTAAAACCTTTTACCTTACAGTATCATAACCAGTTGTTCAAAGTATGCTGTAAAGCGCTTACATGTACCTTGTATATGTTGAAACAAATATCTTGTTTTTGTTTCCCAGTTAATATCTTACTTCAGGCTATTGTTATTTACCCGACTTGAGATACAGTTTTTTATTACCAAACTGCTGTTCTGCAGAAATACATGAGTCTGCTTCCTTATAGAAGCTTACATTATGGTTTTCGTCAATTACAAGTAATGGTTTTACTTCAATAACACGTAATGGATGTAAAATAGTCATATGGTTTAAATGAGCGCCATGCAAGGAGTGTCATATCTGTTTCAGGTTCAGACTTATAAGTTAAAACTATGATCATGAAAACACGATTGAAAACCCATAAATGACACGCAGTATGCACCTCGGAAATAACGGAGAAAATTGCTATTTGTTTTGAGTTTGTACGGAAACGTAACCAAACTCTAGAATGAAGAACGACGTAATTTGAAAAGAAGCCATTACAATTGAAAACCATTCTAGATAGTAAAGCGGAAGAAAATAAATTAAGAACATGGCAGTACTAGAAAGCTGTACCTGTCTGTCATCAAACTAGCTACGA